ATCCAAGTTTTATATTTATATAAAGAGTAATATATAACATTGTATATCTATGAACATTACTGCTGTGAAATGTTGTATTAATGTGAATTTTTATTATCAAATTCTATAATTCATGTAAATTCTTAAATTGCATTAAAGTGACCAAGGTTAATTTAATAAGAAATGAGGTTTTCAAATGTAATATTTATAAATATTAAAACATTCCTCTAATTGTTCCTTTCAATTAAAATGGTCAATCTTCACATTTCCAAATTACTTTGTGGAAATGTTATTGTTAATTGTCTACTTGGACTTTACTTATTAATAAGACTTAATACTGGTGTTTAAAGATTGGCACAGCAATTATAATTTACAATTACTTTGCGAAAAGGTTAAAATCCTTGTTTGTTTATACAAAATGTGTTTATGATATTTTGAATGTGTTATAAATTGGATATTGTATTCAATTTTACAATAAATGCATTTGATTAATTAACTAGGTGTTATATAAATAAAAAATAATTGAAAATATATTTTAAAATTTATAAATTATACGAATTTTAATAGTTTAGCTCATATTTTTAAACACAAAAAATTTGAAATGTTATTATATATAAATATTAAACTGCTGTAATTTCATTATTTAAAAATAGACCTATAAGATTTCTTTGGACAAAATAGTAAACGAAATTCTTACCTAATTCAGATGAATCTTCTTCGGCCATCATAGCTGGTTCATATTGATGAGTAAATTGTTCAGGATGGAATTTCTTCTTATGCAATAATACTGCTTTGCGACTTAATAATGCCTTTCTGCATATATCACAAAAAAACCAAATTTTTTGAGTTGTGGAAGGTTCGCTGATGGTATGTTCCTTTAAATGTTTGGCTAAAGTGACTGGCCAGATAAAAGATTTAGGACAAAGATGACAATCAAACTGTCGCACTCTACACATGGGGTTTGAAGTTAAATGAGAATGAAAATCTGCCAAGCTAGTAATTTCAACATTACAAGCGGCACAATTATGAGGTGGTGAAATGGCACTCAAATCCAAAGACTGATTATTTGTTTCGGGAACTCCAGATGAAGCGAATAAATCTGTATCAAGTAAGAATAGTATTTTTTAAACGTCCTTACTAATTATTACTTTTACTAATTATATTTAAAAGAAAGGTTACCTGTGCCATCCAATTCTTCGGATGGTTTTGAAACTGGCGATGAGGGCGGTGGAACTTCTCCTGCTTGACAATGGGAAGCCATATGACTTGTCAATTCGGAGCTGTTGCAAAATACTTTCTTGCATATGGCGCATAATCGGCTACCAGGTTTACGACCTCTCTTCACAGAAGATACTCTGTATGCTTCTGCTATTTCCAATTCTGCACAGAAAAAACACATCTACTGTGGAAATAACACGTTTCACACCAACTGAAATTATCCTGAATTGAAGTATTTCCAATAAGCCTATTTTATTTATTAACATTTCTTTGAACATCATATATAAAATGTTCAATGAAAACTTTTCGTCTATATTAACAGAATACAAATTGATTTAAATTAAACAAAAATCACACATTTTGATTACAAAAGAAGGATGACTTAAGAAAAATTATTAAAAGTTTTAGATAGCTTTTCCAAATAAGAATAGACAGAAAAATCACCCTACCTTTAGCATTTTGGTTTTATTATTATTGTTGTTATTTTTTTTTTCATGGAGTTTTCGTTTAGACAAAGAACTACTGTATTTACAGCTGTAATTATTTACAATAAGACTTACCTGCCCCCATCTGTGCTGGTCCCACGTTGTGCGATTCACGCAGATGACGCTGCAATGCCCACTTCCAATAAAAAGACTGCGAGCAATACATGCATGAAAATTTCTCCCATCCACACCAGTTGACAGATTGTTGCGGTTTATCAACAGGGGTACTGGTTGTAATAGTGATGGACTTGGGGAATTTGACGGGAAGGTCACCTATGGTTGGAGAACGTCTTTATTTAGTACAACGTAGTGTTTCCACTAATTACGGTTTCATTTACATTAGTTCAATAGGGTGACAATTATAAACTATTTTTTTTTTAACGGTTTTTCTATTTATGTTCTTTGACGACACTCGAGATACATTCTTCATTCTTCGTCTTCATTCTGTTCTTAGCAAAGAACATCTTCTAAAAGTGACGAGTTTTCTTTGAAGAGGAATATACACTACTGATACAATTGACTATTAAGTGATAGATCACGCTTTATTACTTTTGTGATTTTATTTTTACACTCATAAAATAGCAGAACAGACGCTAATTATTATATATTTATTTTGAAAATTTCCTCGAAATAAGAGAAAACAATCACACTTTCTCATTTTAATAAATTTTTATTGAAATAAATATTAAAATAATATTGAAGATTTACTAATTAATAAACAAAAACTTTCAATTAAAATTTGTTTTCGGTATCAAATTTAATATTCTGACTCATATTCATAGAAAGTACATTACTTGTACGCATAAGAGAAGGTAATCTCGTATTTTCTAAAATGTTCATTTCATTTTCTAGACTCTTAGTAGCTAAGTCCATATACATTTTTACGTCGTCATTTTTAGATGTTTTGAAAAAATAAAATACGCAAAATAACATCAACACGAATATTATTGGAATTTGCTATAAAATGCTTTGTCTATATGACAAACATAAAATATGATTAAATCTAATTTTACAATGTGCCATATCCTGGAGAGTGTATAACATATTTAAGTGATCTTTAATAATA